TGGCCCTCTCCTACACACCACAGAATTTACCACTTTAAAAACAGGAAATGCATGCTCTTCATCTAAAAATGAAATTGGCATCCTATACTCCCCTTTCAGAAACTGGCAGTGTATTTCTAGGGTAGGAGTTGAGCACTCTCTTTTAAGGAGAATTACATAGTTTTCCCCAACCAGATGTTCTCCAGATGAGTGGCTCTCCAGAGCTGGACAATATGTTTAATTCAGACTTTGGTTTGAGGAAGTATTCAGCTTCTTTCAAAGATAACTTTGAACTTTTTCACAGAGTGGTGTGAGCAACAGAATGAAGAAATTGCATCATTCATCATATATGAGGTCACAGGTTTTCTCCACTAGATTTGTCTGAAACTGAAACAATCACACTTTGATTAGCTCCTATAACTGTGATGAGAGAAAAGAACAAGATTTTAGTGATAGAAAATAAACACCACTTCAGTGAAAGATGAAAAACCATGATGCCCTTGTACAGTAAAACACCACTTAAAGGGAACTGGTTGAATTATTGTATCTTCTTTTCAGGAATCCTTGAAACTATAGTTTGGAAAAGAAAGATATGGAATGTCTCTTGCCATCTCATAAATTCTCAGGGTTCTTTTATAGAAGCCACAACAATTAGAATAGTATTAAAGCAGGAAAAGTATTACATAATGTATAGAAATAGGGCTCTACTGAATACTTCTAACATCTCCGGAAACAAGAGCAAGAATCATATGAAATTCTCTTTTATGAAGCAATTCTGCTTCCATTATCAGGTTCCTGAAATAGGGAAAATATATATCTCCCAGAGTCACAACTGTTATACCTATGATAATGAGGATTTAGGTTTTGCCAAAAAGGGGAACATCATGACTTTTATTCAAAGAATTTACTGGGTTCTTATTTATGCAAGAGGATACTCGCAATTTAGTTCCTAAGTACACATTTTGCTTTGGATATTAGAACGCTTACAGGTAATAACCTTATCACATTTCTGTAAATGGTATTTTGGGGATTTTGGGGTCAGATTTACTGAAGTTTGATTTTACTGGACTGAAATTCTGAAACTTTCCTCAGACAGTATGACAGTGAGCCAAAGTAGAAGTATGAAAGAAAATCCCAGACTTTTAGCTACGTTTAACTGATTTGATATAAATGGGTATGTTTTCTTTCTCTGTCACTTGCTACCAATGGAAATAGATCAATATTTCTCTTTATAATATAATAATAATAATGATAAAGTTGGAAGGGACCTCGGAGGTCATCTAGTCCAACCTCCTGCTCAGGCAGGAAACCCTATACCATTTCCGACAAATGGCTGTCCAGTCTCTTCTTAAAAACTTCCAGTGTTGGTGCATTCACCGCTTCTGGAGGCAGGTTGTTCCACTGGTTAATTGTTCTAACTGTCAGGAAGTTTCTCCTTAGTTCTAGGTTGCTTCTCTCTTTGGTTAGTTTCCACCCATTGCTTCTTGTCCTGCCTTCAGGCGCGTTGAAGAATAGCTTGACTCCCTCTTCTTTGTGGCAGCCCCTAAAATATTGGAACACTGCTATT